GCAAAAATTTGAACATCTACCCCGGTACAACATAGGTGGGAATCGGTTACCCAACGAGACAATAGTGTTATAATTCTGAATCAGTGAGGTGTAACCAGTTACCCTCCTGGCAGTAACTGATTACCACTAAAATGTCAGATTTTTCAAAATTTGTAAATTGGATAACTTTCGCCTCAGGTGTCCGTTTGACGCGTCGTTTGGACCATTGGAAAGATAAAATTATTTTCTATCCTATAAAAATAAAGTGTAACACAATAGCTAATTATTTGACCAATATTGATACCTATCTGTGTATATTCCTAAGTAGTTTTCTATGAATTATGTTACGATTGAGTAATATGATATTGTATGAATGGTTCGATTGTTTTGCATGATGTATTGTATGATAATGATGATGGCCTGTATTGGCGTGACAATAATGAAATTAAATTAAGTTGTTTCATGTCGGTGTCACATGCATTCATGAAAAGATGGCCTGTATTGGCGAAAGATGGTTTGTATTAGCGAAAGCTGGCTTGTATTGGCAAAAGATAGCCTGTATGGGCGAAAGATGACATGTATTTGCATTATGATGTTGTTGCTCTAAGTTGGAATTATTATGATGAGGGTTCTTCCTTATTGGTATCACATGTATTTAGTTAATGTCGGTCTCATTGTATTACATTATGATTGATAACTTGATGTTTGATGCTGAAAGGGTATGATTTATATTATGATGAGTATCATGTGTTGCATTGCTTATATGTTGATTTAATTTGTGGTGTGATGAATTAAGTAAAGGTGTGAGATAAAGAAGTATAACTATGCTTACTTAAATTATTATCTACTCATTATTATGTTTTCTTTTGTATTGTTATGATATATTAATATATCACCCTTTCTGTTTGAATGTTGTCCCTTCGTGGATAATATGGAGATGATCTAAAGTAGCTCGAGGTAGAGGTTCACTGAGAAGTGTCTCATTTTGCATAGATTGAGTCAGTGTCATCTCTGATATGTAACACTTGGGGGTTTTGCGTTTGTTTTATCATGATGGGAGTAAATTATTGTAGAACTCTACTTTGTTAGATTTATTTGATGATGCATGTTGAAGTTTTAATTATGATAATTATAACTCATGTTAAGGAGTTAAGAATAACTGTTATTGATGTTTTCCGCTGCGAATAAATGAAATGAAGTTGAGACTTGGTAAACATGTGATTATGTGTTGTGTGTCTTATTATATGAGCATGTGTGTATGTATGAAGATGTGACATCCTATTTTTGATGTTTTATTTTATGAATTAGTTTACTCTGATTTTTGGTTAAATTACCGATGGGGAAATAGGGTGTTACACTTTGTAGTAAAGTGGGTGACAAACACACTTTTCAAATAAAGACTTGGATGGGGACACACACATGTGCTAGGGTTTTGAATAATAAGTCATCCAACTCAAAGTGGGTGTCAAAGGTTATAGTTGAAAAGAGGTAGTCAAGTTGCAAGGTTAAAGTCTCAAATCTAATGGCAGAACTTAGAAGTAAATATTCAGTTGGAATTACTAAGGGAAGAGCATGGGTGGCCATGCACATAGCTGATGAAATTATTGTAGGTGACTCAACTAAATAATATTCTTTGTTGTGGAGTTATACCGTAAAACTTGGGAAGCAAAATATTGAAAATTTAGTGAAAATCAATGTGGAGAGACCAATTCCAACAATTCTACCAAGGTTTGGTAGTTTCTACTTATGTTTTGGTGGCTGTAAGAAATGGTTTTTTAACGGTGGAAGACCATTTATTGGTGTGGATGAGTGTCATTTAAAGAAAAAGTATGGTGTCCAATTACTTATTGTTGTGGCTAGGGATCCAAATGACCAGTACTTTACATTAGCATCTGGTGTTCTGGAAATAGAGACAAATGAAAGTTGGCGGTGGTTCTTACAACTACGAATGGAAGATATTGGGAAACACAGAAGATATGTATTCATATCAGACCAACAAATTGTATGAATAAATTTTAGTGTTTTCATATTTATAGGGCATGAATTAATTTATTTTTCATAATTGTCTTTCTAGTGCAGGGTCTTGTTGTAGTGTTTGAAGACATGTTTGAGTTCATTGAGCATAGAATATGTCTAAGATATTTGTATTCCAATTTTAAAAAGAGATTTGGTGGAGGTAGTGCAATAATGGATCTTATGAGATCTGCAAAGGCAACCTACTATCAAGCTTGGGAGAAGAAGATGTATGAGTTAAGGCGGCTGGACAAAAAGGCTTGGGAATGGCAATTGGGTGTTCCAACCAAAATGTTGTGTAAGCATGCTTTTAGTTTTTATCTAAAGTGCATTGTTCTGATGAATAACATCAGTGAGTCTTTCAACAGTACTATATTGCAGGCTAGAGATAAACCAATTTACTATGTGTAAATGGATTAGAAATTATCTAATGAATAAGGTAGTTGTAAACTTAACCAAACTAGACAAATAGAAACATAAGATAATGTATATGCCTAAGAAAAGATTAGACAATGAGATGCTAATGAGTGGTAAATGGGTTCCTACATGGAGTATTAGCATGATATGGCAGGTAAACCACACATTTGATGGTCATCAATTCATTGTTGATCTTAGCAAAAAAAAGACATGTACAAGCTATTTTTGGGAACTTGAGGGCATTCCATGTAGACATGCCATAACTAGCATGAATTATCAGAAGTTGGATCCAGAAACTTTTGTAGATGACTGCTATAGTAAGGAAACATATAATAAGTGTTACTCATATGATGTGAGTCCTACTAATGGAAAGGATATATGGTCTAAGGTTGATGTTAAGGATATGCTTCCACCATCATTTAAGAAATGTCCAGATAGACCTGGGAAACTTAGGTTTAGGGAACATGATGAGAATGGTTCTATAATGAGAAGGTATGGTGTTAGTTACAGGTGCACTAAGTGTGACAAGTTTGATCATAATTCAAGAAAATGTCCGAGTAAAGAACAAAACCCTGTTGCATTAAAGAGAAAGGTTTGTGTATTATTTGTTTCTAGTTTTTGTTTACTGTTTTTTGAATACTAAATCATGTATTATGGGTTACTAACTTATGATGATAATGTTTTGGTGTCTTGGAGAAAAACACCTAGTACCAAACCTGCTACAACTGAAGTTGTTGCTCAGTCTGCTAGTGCAAATGAACATGTGACTGAGCCTGCAAATGAACATGTGATTAAGCCTGCTATAGTTGATGATTTTGAGGATTAAATTGATGCATCAATTGAAGACATTGTGGCCTCAATAGAAGTTGAATACCAAGCAACTCAAACATCTCAAATTGTGAATCCAACACCTGCCACAAATGAAGTTGTTGCTGATACCAACTCTCCAAAAAGAAATAAATAGTGGCCTCCAAGAAGAAATCTATGTCTACCAAAAAGAATAAATTGGTTTCATAACGTGCTTATTTGGAATCTTGTATTGATGTTTGTAATTCACATAATGTGCTTATTTTCCCTTTTGACTATATTGCTCATAATGTAGTTATTTTGCTCATTTGACTATAATGCACATAGTGTACTTAGTTTGATAATATTGAATTAGTAATGTTGAATGTAATACACATAAGGTGCTCATTTTGAATTATATAATGCACATTGGCTGCTTAATTTAAATCAAATTTAGACAGTGATTTAGGATGCTTGGAGGTTTGACCTTGAATTAGTTGTTAGAGAGGTTGCAAGATTGGTATGATCCGAAAAATGCCCTGCCCAATATGGAGAGAGATTTGAACCTGAGAAGATGAAAGATTTAGAGAAGTCACGAGATCTGGATTATTTTCCTCTGTCAGGTAAGGTGGAACTTCTCTTACAAAAGTGAGAGCAAGTGTTGTCGCCTCAACGACAGAGGCGGCATTGCGATGTGCGGTTGTCCGAGCTGACTTGGAAGCTACCATTGTTGGTGAATGAGTTAACATAAATTAGATTGAATGATAAAATAGTTATGATGGCGCAATTGGTAGGACTCAATGGATTTTCATGGAAATTCTCAAGAATCAGAAGTCAATTCTTAAAGATGGTGCCACTGTTCTGTTGGGGAGTAAAAGAATGGTGGTAGATTGTTAGGAAGCTTCTCCAATAAGGTGGTGCAAGTCTCATGTGTGGTGAAGTGGGAGTGGACCTACAAGATTAACATTTCAACGTATAAGTTAGAGAGGTGTAAATTGCAATAGTGAGAGTGAATGAATACTAGTTATGGCGTATGACGAGTTTATACAGTTAAATCGCTCCCATTTGATCAATCATAAGTTGCAAAAAGCTATCAGATCAGATCTAACAATGCCTGATGAGCCATTTGCTCGAATCATGAGTGAGACCTTCTAGAGAGAATCCACTTGTTCGCCGCTCTTTGGCTAGGATCTTTTGGGTTAGGCATCTAGAATTGGGTCAATTTCATTAGGTCTTTGGCCGACTTGGAACAAAAAATTTCATTAAAAATATTATCTAAATTTGTGAGAATTAAGTTGAACAAAGGGTAACAAACCAAATGTCCACCTCATCAAAACTCGACTGCCAAAAAACCGAATAAGGGGACATGTAAAGGAAATAAGCCAAAATTTTTAACTCGACTCGTAAAAAACAGACTAGAACTTGCTGAGTCTGTCGCCTCTAAAAATTAAGTGGTAAAATATCGTATCATCTCTATTTAGACCAAATATACTACTTCAACGTACTAAATTTGACAGATTCAATCTATTTTCTCATCCACTTATAACATATTTGGATCACATTGACATTATCAAATTTTTGTCCTAATGCCAATTCCATTTTAATTTCGTGAAGCTATAAATCAAAGACACATGGATGCATGCCCCGTGCAAATTGTGAGAGACTAACTTCAATCTTTCAATTTTAATTGATTTTAAATTCATGTGGGAAGAAAGTAAAACAAAATCTTCAAACAAAGAAAGTGACAAGTAATATTCAAACTACTTTCACTTTTAACTCAAACAAATAAACCCTAATTCAATCTCTTAGAAAATCTCCATGAAAACCAAACTCACATAAACCACATTAACAACAATAATCCCAAAGTATGTGTAGATTGATGGCGAAATAAATTCGCCATCCGATTTTATATCTGATAGAGAAGGAGATGGTGGCGGTGTTTGGTGTTCTTGAATGTCTATAGCAACTTTCATTCCATGAAAACAATAACCTCCACTACTAATAAAGTAGTACGTCTTTGTTTCTATCAACTGAACCACATCGCGACCGCCTCGTGTTACATTTTTCATGAAGTTCCTGTCTATGCAATTCTCATAGGATGTCTTGCTCACTTCCAAGACATTGTAGTATCTTTTGTCAAACACAAAAACTACAAACCAAACAACTGATTATTTTCTTAAACATGGAAAAACAACAACATAAACCTTTTTTAAATGCTTTTATGAAATTCCATATTAGGTTTAATTTCAATTTTGTCTCCAATTGGGGGTGTTGTGATTTAGTTCAGCATGTGATTCATGAGAACTTTTTTTTCTTCAAAAGTTAAAGTGCAATTGATGGCATACTTGACTAATACTCCAACCAATACAAAAATATACACACTTCATAATTTTTTAATAGCCATTTCATAATTAATTTTAATAAATTTTTATTATACGTACACTGATGAACTTGGATAATATTAATCATATAAAACAAAAGTTTTTTTAAATCAACAAAAAATTTATTTAAAAAAGAAAAAGTAATTCAAACATGATAGTTTTTTCTTTAAAAAAATTATTAACTTCATAAATATCAACAATTTATTTATATTAATACATAAATATTAATAAATGTGACATATGTTATCACAGATAATTTTATAGAATTATGAATTAATTGATTAATTAATATAAGAATTAGAAATTTAAAAAAAAAAATCTAAATTTTAGATTAAAAAAAGTACAACTAATGATATGCAATCAATAAAATTGGCCAACTATTATATTCAAGGTGATGAAATCGGACTGAATCAGGCGGTTTAATCAAAAAATGAGATCTTAATCGATTTGTTTGAGTTTGAAAATCAGCACGTAGAAGAACTGATTTTTAAATCGAAAAAACAGTTAAAAAAAATCAGAATACGACCATTTTAAACGATTTTTAAGGTCAAATCGAATTTTACTTTTGATTTATAAAAATATAATAAAAGATTTCATTTTGAATCGAAATAATATTTAATTTAATTTTCTTTTTTCTTCTTCAATCACTCTAAAATACATTAAAATAAAAAAATCATAATAGAAATTATTTCTAATTATTTTATTGATCTCTATTCATTTGATGAATGAAAATAAATTCAATATAATAATACATAACAGAGAAATATAATAAAATACAATATAACACATAACATATAAGAAGAGAAAATGACAAGGTAATATCGTAAATAAATAACTAATAAAATTATTAGATTATTAACTTATTATTATTATTATTATTATTATTATTATTATTATTATTAATAATAATAAACTTTATATATTTATAATCGGTTCACTTCGGATTCAACCTCAATTTAATCTTAAAATTTTTAACTTATAGATATATCAGTTATATGTTAGCTTGATTTTGATTATCTTAATTATATTTCTAATTTAAAGGTGAAATCAAAGTGTTTAATTTTTATTTAACAAATATACTTTACTAATAATATAAGAGAGATTTGAAGTATTATATTTACTAATAATATAAGAAAGATTTGATGTAATTAAACAAAATTTAGAAGAAAAAATGATTAGAGAGTACTTACTTAACCAATCACCAACATAGACATGTTGTTGAGAAGACCATTGAGTATAATTGCTTTTTTCATTCCAACCTTTGGAACCTCCCACCTTATGAAGCTTTGGACTTCCCATAACCACCATTGGCCACAATGATAACATTCCCAAAATCACCATCAAAATCACTTTTGAATTTTCCATCACTCCCTCTCCTTTAAATTATTCCAAACAAAGATTTTTCTAGCTACCTTCTTTGGAACAAGTATGAGTTATGTATGTGGGTGGGTCATGAGAGATTGTGTTGTGTAAAGTGTGAAGTTGGTGTTTGTAAAAAAGTGATTGTGGAATAAGTTGACAGCTAGATTTATTTTAATACGATTTGTAGTACCAAACACGTTTAGTATTCTTGCAATATTAATAGAACAATGGAATTAAAAACAAAACAATGGAATTAATTATTACTTAGTTATATAAGTTTTTTTTATAGAATATATTAATTTTTTTAAATTGCTATACTTTTACTTTTCTTAATAAATTTTAAAAAAATATTTAAAAAGAAAAAAGTGATGTGATTTATAAACTTTTATATACATGTAATTTATTAGAATTTGTTTGCTACTATAGTGCATTAATAAAAGCCTTTGTAAAAAACCACTTCAATGTGAAAGCATTACTTTGTTAGGTTTTTGTTTAGATATGTATCATTGTACTTTAGCTTTGAGCAAAGTTTTGTTGTTCTTTTTCTCCTGCATTTAGCATATCACCACCACATGTATGTGTTAGTAACTTAGTACTACTAAGTAATTAAAAAGCAAGTACTTTATTATAATTTGTATGTCAAAAATAAAATGGCACGCAATTTAGATGGGAATGAGTGAGAATGAATATGAGACTCACACTTGTGAGTATCTGAACGAATTTGTTCTGATTTTTGACGGAAAAAACTAACTTGATCGAGTGTAGGTTTAGGTTTTTCTTATTATTGAATGAATATTGGGCATAAGCGTGAGGAGTTGTTTTACATTCTTGACAATGTGTATGTTTTAAATTTACTGTAGGTTTAGGTTTTTCTTGTTATTGAATATTGGGCATAAGCACGAGGAGTTGTTTTACATTCTTGACAATGTGTATGTTTTAAATTTACTGTAGGTTTAGGTTTTTCTTGTTATTGAATATTGGGCATAAGCATGGGGAGTTGTTTTACATTCTTGACAATGTGTATGTTTTAAATTTACTGTAGGTTTAGGTTTTTCTTATTATTGAATATTGGGCACAAGCATGAGGAGTTGTTTTACATTCTTGACAATGTGTATGTTTTAAATTTACTGTAGATTTAGGTTTTTCTTGTTATTGAATATTGGGCATAAGCATGAGAGTTGTTTTACATTCTTGACAATGTGTATGTTTTAAATTTACTGTAGGTTTAGGTTTTTCTTGTTATTGAATATTGGGCATAAGCATGAGGAGTTGTTTTACATTCTTGACAATGTGTATGTTTTAAATTTACTGTAGGTTTAGGTTTTTCTTGTTATTGAATATTGGGCATAAGCATGAGGAGTTGTTTTACATTCTTGACAATGTGTATGTTTTAAATTTACTGTCGACATTTTGAATATAAATGATTTTGATAGAATTGATTTTAGTAAAATTGAGTTTGATAGAATTGATTTATATTTAGATATATTTATACAAAAGTGAGTAGAATAACAAATTTTAATATAAAAATCACGTTTAAACTCAGAAACTACAAACCCGATCGTTAGGCAGGTGACTTCCGTCATCCTGTCAAGAGAAGCAGAATCACATTTTTTTATTATGGAGTTCAATTTTAAACTTCAATTTTTCATTCCCAACCCTCAAATCGATCGAAATTAATAGGAGTTAACATCTCATCATAAAAAATAAAAAATACATATATCAATTAACATACATTGTTATGGATTAATCACCACTTTGGCATATTATTCATCAAAGTTATATCACTCATATGAACACAAATTTATATCAAAATCACCAACAAAAATATACAATTTTCATGGTAAAAATCAGTGCACGAAATCATACAATTACATCACATAATTCATGTTATCATAACAACCCATTCATATCATCAATGGAAGGAAAATATGTTGGAATAATATAGCAAGTGTGAGTAAGTGGGCAAATAGTCTCACATTGGATAGGAATGTGAAGACTTAAGCATATATAAGTGGGAGAACCCACTCACCTATCACCTTAAGATTTTAGGTGGATAAGTGGTGTGTCTCTCACAAAGGTGTCTAGTCCTACACTATGTATCAATGCTCCTAGTATCTCCCCCCAACATGGTATCAGAGCCAAGTTCGAGAAAGGGACCGAAAAAGTGGGGGAGCATTGTGGACTCACACTTGAGGGGGAGTGTCGGAATAATATAGCAAGTGTGAGTAAGTGATAAGTAGGGAAATAATCCCATATTGAATAGGAATGTGGAGACTTAAGCATATATAAGTGGGAGAACCCACTCACCTATCACCTTAAGGTTTTAGGTGGATAAGTGGTGTGTCTCTCACAAATGTGCCTAGTCCTGCACTATGTATCAATGCTCCCAGTATCTCCCTCCAATAAAATAAAGAAGAACCTAATGGAGATTAAGGACTTCTCTCTATCCAATCATGCAATTGACACTATATTTAGAGTAATCTCCCCCCACCTTGAATTTCCAACAAAGCAAGCTCTACAACAATGGTGATTTCTTTCCAAACTCTTGTTCTCCCTTTACTCTAATTTAGCCTCTTTTGTCTTTTTCTCTAATACTCCAAAATAATACGTACTGACTAGTTTGGCTCTCCCTAAATCCTTTTTATTCTAATACCTAATTATAATCTTTTAATTATATCACTTTACTCCAACTCACTTTAATTTTCACTTCATTATCCCTTTATTTTTATTTTTTAAAATTTCACCCTGACACCTCTATTTTTTAATTATTAATATTAATTTAATTCTACTTATTTGATTAAATAAGTAATTCATACTCTACCAATTCCAAACATCATATAAACATATAAATTTCACCAATCATCAATCGAAAACACATAAAAATCATTTTAGATGATTAAATAAAACACAAAATTAATTAAATAAATAATTTAAAGAAAACGAGGTGTTACAGTTAGCGGTCATACGATTTCCGCCGCCGTAGCCCACCGACTGTCGTGCGAGACCCCCGATGCAAACCCACGCTCGTGCGTCGAAGCGGCTTCGCCGCTGCGCGGCCCCTTTCAGAACCTGGTCGCCGCCATCGCGGCACGGCCTATCGCCACTGCTTCTCCGACGATCGCCATCGCGACACCGTCATCACGCGGCTCCGCCCTCTCCCTAGCTGCCAGCGCCGGTGCAGCCTGATTTTCTCGATTTCGGCCGATTTTTCGACGCAACATATTTCTGCCTGTTTTTTCAATTTTTTGATAAAAATCCAATTTTTAGAAAAATTCGGTTTCCTGACATATTTTGAAAATATAGGCTTTTTACAACATTTGCGAAACAAACCAAAGAAAACAATCGCACAGACAGGAAAAAATACAAACACATAACACAGTTCTCATTTATCCCAAATTTTACAGATTACTCTTAACGAGCACCAATTTAATCACAAAAAATAATTCTTAACTAACTCAACACAGAAATATTCACATAATTCCAAAATTATCACAAAAGCCCTAAAAGGGCATAATACCATTGCACATATCATACATATCAATACAATAAAAAATCATCGATAAAAATCTCACGAGGGTTCAACCAGTATCAACATCAGATATATATATATATATATATATATATATATATATATATATATATATATATATATATATATATATATATATATATATATATATATATATATATATATATATATATATATATATATATATATATATATATATATATATATATATATATATATATATATATATATATATATATATATATATATATATATATATATATATATATATATATATATATATATATATATATATAGGTGACCAGAGGAGTTTTATCCAAACCCTTTTGGTTACAACAAGTAAACACAAAGAAACTAAACTATCACTACTATGGAAAAGACATAGCATAACAGTTGGAAAAGGGACACCACAATGCGTGACCAACCATTGTGAGGTAAAGGGTGATTGTTGTTAGGGGAAATTTTGAGGAGGGGGTATTCTTTACTTGGGACACATCTTTTGTGAGACACATACCACATATCTATTCAAAACTTTAAGGTAATAGGTGTGTGGATTATCTCACTTATAAAGTGTTAAATCTTCCCTTTTCTAATCAATGTGGGATTTCTTCTACACTTGATTCTTAACACTCCCCCTCAAGTGTGAGTATATACGCAATACTCCCCCTCAAGTGGAAGCTCTCTCTTCCACATACACTTGTACCACCGTTGATACTCTTCAACGAAACACCTTCTATCCACTACCTGCAGGAAGTGTTTCGATACAAGTAAGTCGGTCCATATCTAGAAACAAAGGCTCGTGATACCATTGTTCAATATTTAAAGCTTCATTACGGTTGATTGGTTTAGTACATGCAAGTAAAAAAATGAACTAATTTTTCATCTGGTGTGACTTCATCATCACCCACCACTTTATAATCATGAAGTCTTGTTGGAAGAAATCTTTTTCCTTGAGGTCTTCGACTTGTTTCAGCCACACCCTCTTCGACTTCAATATTCATCAGTTTGTTCATTGAAACCATAGCTCATCAATGACTTGTTAATTGCATCATCAAAATTCCAATCCATGGCATATTTTTTTTATCAATCACAATGTCTCTACTTAACACAATCTTCTCATTAACTGGATTGAATAGCTTGTATGCACCAATTTTATGATATCCTACCAGAATCATAGGTTCACTCTTGTCATCAAGCTTCCTTCTTCTCGCATCAGGAACATGCTTGTAACACATAGATCCAAACACCTTAAAATGACTCGTTAATGGTTGCTTGTCACTCCATACTTCTTCAGGAACCTTGTTCTTCAATATCTTGGTAGGGCACCTGTTCAAAATATAAACTGCAATCGAAACAATTTCACCCCATAAAGATTTTGGAAAATTCTTCTGCTTTAACATAAATCTCGCCTTATCCAACATGGTTTTGTTTCTTCTTTCAGAAATTCCATTATGTTGAGGAGTATAAGGAAAAG